CATGCTTTGGCCATCTCCAGAAAGTCTTACGTTAAGTCATATCGGAGATCAATACATTAAAACGTGAAAGCCACCATCTTTGATTGAGGGAATCGATGGTCAATGCCCTGTCTGCAGCAGCAGTGCAGCAGTGCCCAGTGCTTCCAATGTCTGCTCTGCAAAAAAATCCAGCTTCTGTCTCCTTCTGGTCCTGGTGATTCTTGCTGGTGTGTTCCATCTCCCTTCTTCAACAGCTTGCCACAGGCAGTGCCCACCGTCACCAGCTACAGCAAGGGCAGCTGGACCAAGGCTGGTCGTGCACACATTGGTGGAAGCATCAGTCAGAGATGGAGGTGTCTCGTGGTGAATCAGGGTGCCTGTTCTCGCAGCTGGTGGTACACAATTAAACCAGAGAGTGAGGCCCAGGGAAAACAACCCCTGCTTTTTGGGGCTTCCCAGCCAGGTGAGACCAATAGGACTCCTCACTCCTTCCCTCTCATGCTTAGCGAATGGGAGACGAATTTGTCAATCTTTTTTTCCCCTTTCTTATTAGAAAGGTTTCACTAAAGGAAAGCTCACTTAAAGGATGGCAGCTCACTGAATGCAGCAATCCTGAGTGCAGATGTAAGCCAAGGTCCACAAGAAACACTTCACATCTCTAGAACAACAGTATGTGACTTTGATGTTGCATCCACAAGCAGCAGATTTAAATGGTGCTTGTCATCAGCAAAGCAAGTGGATGAACTTGTTCACAACATAAGCAGACTGTACGGAGAGATTGCAGCTGTACCCCCACCTGACCGGAACTGGTGGAACATTGGAAGTTCTGTACTAACATGCAGAAGGACTTCTGTATGATAAGGTGGTGGAGCACTGGAACATCTGCTCTGGATCTCTTCTCTGGAGATATTCAGGACTTGTCCAGACACCTACCTATGCAACCTATTGTAGGGCATCTTCTTTAGCGGGAGGCATGGACTTGATGATCTCTTGAGGTCGCTGCAAACTGCTGTGATTCTGTGAAGCTGAATCTGCACTCCCAGGTGGCAACCCAGTCACACTGAGGAGAACCATCTCTGCACCCTGTCTCATGAGCAATAGCACACAGATGACCCAGGGTCACTTCCTTACGCTAGGAGACGAAGAGTCACTCACCCTGCTACCACAGAGGTCTGCTTTTGCTGGCCTTTGGCCAGAAACCTAAGACCCAAGAAGTGCATTACGCCTGGCACACACATGCTTGCCTTAAAGCACAGAGTGCTGCCATTGTGCTGACCAGCCATGGGGTTCCTGCATCTCCCAGGGCAGCTTCTGCAGCTCTTACACTCCTGCTACAGTCCTCCGCAGAGTAGGAACTGCATCCAAAAACCTCCACTTTCAAAGCACAGCGTCCTATTTTCAGGACAGCTGTAATTATACCCACAGGCACCATCACTGGACACTTCCTTGAAACTCAGTACAGAATAAATTTGATACAAGATTTGATACAAAGTAATACATTGTGTTTAGTTTTAGTGTGAGAACAAATAAAAGAAAGAACAGCCAGTTCCAAGTGTGATTTTTTTTTTTTTTCAAAATGAAAGTTTTCTCTTCAAGAAATAAACAAAAGCTCTCCACAGACCTTCACAGACCTTCATCTTACAGCTGACACCTGGCTCAAGCTCTCCATAGACCAGACAGATTTTCTTACACAGGTGGCACTCTCACAACTGAAATTTATGTATGACTGCTACTAAAAGTTATGTTAAAGATGTATTTTTAATTTTTTCTGGGAGATTATTAAATATATTGAGTGCAAAACAGTTTTATTATTGCAATTGGTTTGTGAACAATTGCATCCTCAAGGCAATATCCTAAGCTTAAAACTCAAGATCCACGCAGAGGAATTAAACAGATCTAATCTGAACACAGTGCATTAGTTTCAAGCCTTCCAATTAATGAGAATACATCCGCACCTATCTCACCCAGCACAAGTTCCTGAAGAGTTTAGTACACATCTACATTAAAGACTTCTTCATGTCAAGCATTTTATGAAATAAGAAGAGGTATGTGAAGACAGATGAAAACAGGAAAAACCAGTGGGAACAAAAGCTATCAATAAAGAAGGTGAAAAAAAAAGCTTTGACTTGAAATAAACACCACAACATGTACAATAATGAGTTACAAATTCCTGTGTAGGAAAGGTAAAGCAGTAAGAGCAAAATGCTGTATTTCTTTGTCTTGGGAATCCTGAAGGCCAGAATGCAGCAAGATCCTTGGATGTACAAATCAGCTCTGAGAGGAGGAATTAGAACCTGGTACGGCTGGTGTCCTACCTGTATTGCATACTGCATGGGGATTCATGAGAAAACCAAACAGCAAAACTATATTAGGGTACAATTCCCATCTAGTAGAAGGAGCTCACCATTTTTAATAGCACTCGTAACTTACTCAACAGTAGATTTACTATTTGTTTGTTTTGATATGAAAGTTAATGCTTGGAACCACAGTACCATGATCCTCATAAAAGAAACTGAGGTAGCTATCTCATACACAATAAAACTACAGTCAAAATGAACACAGCACGTATATTTTGGGAGATGTGTTCGAAATTATTCAGCGAAGTACAAGACAGAAAGGAACGGAGAATTAATCCTGCTCACATCAAAGACTGTAAGGACACAGAATTGCCATAATGAATTTTAGCACCCATTTCTCTTCATTTGCAGTTTTGAGGTACACAGATAGCTGGTTTCTCCTGATCCTTGGAGAAGTACATTAAATCTTTCACTATGGCTGAGTTTACTTTGCCAAACAGGTCAAGTATACAACAAACAGAAATCAGGAGTGCTTGCTAGTCTTCCTTGGCTAAAAAAAATACTACTTTAACAACTCAGAAGAAATGTGGTATGACAAGCACACATATTACATTTACTAAAATTTCAGAATTATTCTATATTATTGTCTGTAACACTCACTGAACTTTCTTTTCACAAGTAGCAAAATACTTATTGAGTAAAATTTGTCACCTAAGCTTTTGCCAATCAAACTGCAGTGATATAACCTGAAACTGGTATGTAAGTCAACGTTTCATTCCTTCATTTGAATTAAGCCGGATATAAGCACTGGCAGAAGAGACATAAGATGGCCATGTAAGGTGGGTCTTCACAAATCTCTCCACCCCGTCACCTTCAACCTCCCTGCAGAGCTAGCATTCCTCTACACAAGTCCTGTGGAAAAGACAGAAGCAGCAAAGAAGTGGATTTACTATTCCCAGGCAACTTGCTGAAGTCTGTGCATGGAAGACCTCAGTGTTGGGAAAAACAAAAGAAAGAAAGGAAGGAAAAAAAAAAAAAAAACTTTGTTATTTTGCTGTTTTACAATCATAACCAAGTACTAAAAGACAACATTCAGAAGTTTTATCTTCACACTTTCATCCTAGCCTCACTGCTGGGTCATGCATTTGAATTGGTTCGCTTTTCCACTTGTAACAGCAACTCAGGATGCCAACTCACTTACAGGTCTTGAGGTTAGTTGCTTGAAAAAGCAGTCATCTCTCTCTTTTTCTCTATTTCTTTAACATGAGGTGGTGGGTTTTTTTTCCCTCTTATTTAAAAAGACAAAGAAGAGTAGAAGAGAGTGGAGAACAGCACGCTTTTTTATTGGCAGAAGGTTTTGAGCAACAACTGAGGCAGCAAGGACTACAAAAATAGCTGTACTTCACTCCTAGACATCTTGCATCATATGAAGAAGTAAAACACAGCCATACAAACCTGACGGAGCAGCTTACATTTTATGAATTGAAATCACAAAAACCATATATGTGCAAGCAGACATTTAAAACCAGAACTGTTGGACACCCAAATGAAACCTATCTATTCACAATAGTTGCTTTTTTTCTTTAAAAAAGGAACCAACAACAAAATTTCAGGACTGCAAAGACAGCAAATCTACCCTACTGAATTCAAATTCAAAGGCTGCCAAGCTCTACAATTTATACTGTTAAGAAATAATCCAAGTGCCTTAATGTATCTAAAATACGTATGAACAAATCTCAGCATAAGTATTAGATAACAGAATGATACAAACTCCTAGATATGTGCAAGGAATCAGTTGAAAAATATTTTCAGGTGAACAACAAATGCTGGACTAGGTTGGTGTGCAGAAGGTGAGCAGTGCTGCCTGCCAATTATTCACCTGTGGGCCTAGTTACAAGTAAGGTTTCATTTTAGGTAACTCAGATAAATGTTTAGAGGACATTACACAGCATTTTCTGCCAGAAAAAAAGCCATCATGTGAATAAACACAAAATTAAGACACTTCATGGACAGCAGCTTGCAAAGACTATAAAATCTTCTTAAATGGTCTTAGTTACTTCTGCACCATACACAAATGTATAGAGTCTGGAGTAACAGCCTTCTGTGCTCTTAAGGCACTTCCCATAAGAATGACAGTAGTTCCATGTGTTCAGCAGCAGAAATATAAACACACTTTGCAGTGAGTAATGGTATTATCCATCTAAAGATATTTCAAATTCCTCTGCAAAGATAAGCACCCTTACACACGGTAGCTTTCTGGAGACAGATACTGGGCTACTGCTTATCTGCTACAGCACGCCTACCTACCTTTGGGCACCTTTAGGTAAAGCACAACTAGGGGGTAAAAGAAAGGACACCTACCAAAGAATGGCCCTGCTTCATTCACACAGCTAAAAGCAGTGTTACTGGAGCATTTCATTCTGGACATCCTTTATTCCACAAAGGTTAAAAAAAACCCACAAAAACCCTTTGCCATACTATGCCGTAAGCAAATTAATAATCTGAGGAAAGAAACAAAGCAGCCATTTTTATAGACTACACTCACTTTACGTAGTGAATCATCATTTTCAAGGCACCAGATGCGCAGTAAAGGAAACAGATTAAAGGAAACAAAAACAGTTGGTTACTTGTTGCCCAGTGAATATTACAGAAACTGTCCAGTTTGCAAGCAGAGGTATAAATTAAGTAGAACAGTTACTCCAAGACGTAGCATCCATCACCTACCTTGCAGAAGAGCTCCATTTCTCTTGAAAAAGGTGCTTCCTGGCCAAATGGGTGGACCTGATGTGCTAAAGGTAATAAGAAATAAGTGTAAAGAAAATCTCATTCACATTAAATAATTATAAGTTACTATTTATATGAATTTCATTTTGTTTTTACTAAAGAAGCTAATGCAACTTTAAGGCATTTTTGCCTTCAAGCAAGAGTCTAAAATTTCTCTTTAAAAATAGGTTAATTTTATTCAAGATGCATTCTCTTCATAAGAAGAACAATTCAGCACAGCACACACCCACACTCTCATTTAGAGGAAGAAAGAAGAAGGTTATTTGGAATAAATAATAATAAAAAACAAACCAAGTTCAAAATTTTTTCAATTTCTTTCTGAATTCTCAGTACAGCAAATTATTTGCCTTTTTTCCATGCCATCCACTAAAACACAGGGAGCTTAGGGTTCAGAGATCAGTCAGAGACCCCGACCAGAGCCAAACAGCCCTCATCTCTGTGCTCCACATTCCCCAACCAGCCATGATGCTGCCCAGTACCACCAGCAGCTCCAGCCATGTGCCTTCATAGCACGCTTGGCCCCATGGAAATAAAGCAAGAACCCCCAGCTGAACACCTTGTTCCTTCCCTAACCAAGCAGATCTGACAGCCCATCCTCCTGCCAAGCTCAGCACCCCAGGAAAGCGCCTGGCAATGCTTATGAGAAATGGCCAAAATCATAGGAAAGGTGTTAGAACATTGCTGAGGCAGGTGGAAGGGACAGGTTTCCACGGACCTCCCCTATGGTTGGGAAACAAGCTTCCAAATAAGCCCTCTAAGCTTGAAGACAATCATATGCATTTTACTGCACAAAGTTTTTACTGAAGTTACTATCACTAAAGTACACAATCAGTACAGCAGTAAGTGCCCTGCTCCCAAATTCTAGCAGAAATTAAAAGCAAGAGACTAAATATCCTTCATTAAGATCAATATAAGGCAACTTTGCCTCTGCAGGTAACCCCCCTTGCCCTTTGCAAAGCCCCACGCGCCATTTCTGCTGTTACCTTTGCCCTTTGTCTACCACTACGAAGCAACAAAATGGAAAGCAGATGCTGTCTGTTGCATTCACGGAACGAGCAAAGTTTTGATAAAATGCCACACGTTGAAAAGAAACCCACTATTTTTACAGTCATTCTGCAGAGACTCTTGTGCTAACATACGAAAACTTCAGTGCGCGGCTTATTTCAATAAAGTGTTAAAATACAGACCATGAAAGGATCCACGGCAATTACAAGAGTAATAAAAGCCTTCAATACTCCTGAACAAAAAGGGGAGTTCAAAGACACAGAGAGAGAGACTGAAACGACCAAAAAGAAGTTAAGTAGGCCTACATTCAGAAGCGCCAGAGTGCACTGGGGCGTGCACTTGTCTGAATGCACACGATCACTTCACAGGGCTTAATATAACCGACTGTTTGCATTTCCTATAGCGAGCGCCAGCTCCTCAAGTGCAGCTCCTCAGCTCACACAAAGGTCAAGGGCTGCTGAGGGCGTCTGTGCTCCTGCAAACAGGCTCGATGCTTTCTATCACGGTGAGTCCAGGGCAATGTGTGGGGCAGGAGCCAACAGGCTGCGAGTGGACAGTGGTGGAGCAGCCCTCTGACTGCACCCTACATAGTCCCCCTCCTGCACACCCTTACTTTACCCACTGCTGCCTCAGCAACGAGGACTTGCAGCGCTGCACCTCCACGTGTCTTCAAATCCAAACAGTGCTGGTGGAGATGAAAACTGGAGCAGTGGTAAAAACCCAGGCTATTGCCTGCTTCTGGGTAGGAGTGGGTTAAAGAGCAGAGGGATAACCATATATTTGAATTGACAAAATGTCTCCACGAAAGAAAGAAAGCAGTAGTGATTTCTCTTATTTTCCAATTAGAAGGCCCAAGGCTCTTTTTAACAAAAACTCCAATCTGATTCAGTACAAACTCGCAAACTGAGGAAATTAACTATGCCTTTCCAGGGAAGGAAGCTGAAGAATTCAAGCATGTAAATAACATAGGCAGTGACTGGTTGAGCCTTTCAAACAACCAACTTCTGTGTTTGTGGGGCTTTGCTGGAGCTCAACTACATCGGATCATCACTGGAGAAATCATCTTTCCATTTCCAAACTTTTGCCTATGAAGTCTCAGATGGCATTAATTATTAAAACGTATTTCAAGTTGAGAAATGAGAGTTAAGCTATCTCTCACTTTAATGTGTTCAGAAGCTGCTTCTCCCTGTACCAGATTAAGAAATCATTTTAAAAACTTTATTCTTCTAAAGACCATCTATGATTAAAAAAAAACACTGGGTCCATCCCAGGCATTTTTCCAAATGAATTGTTCCTTCAGTTTAGTCTGTAAGAGACTGGAGAATCATGACTGCTTCTGTTATGACATAAAAATATGAAACCTGCTTTATGAACTTCCATTTGCAATCAATATGTGCTGTAAGATTAATGCTTATGCAGTTGGCATTACTAACAGTGGAGTTCTTCTCCAACCTGATGAAATAAACACACTGAAGTCAAATTTCATTTCTAATCCATCCCCACAACACTAGTGAAGAAAGGCAGCTACTGGCTTGAACTGCATTGCTGCAGGAAAACCTGCAACCCGTGAGGGTCTGGACTGACTTAACCCCTTAACCAGACAGGCACAGTGTGCTTCACTGGGGCTTGGATCAATAGCAAAGAGCTGAAATTGCAAACCAACATCTTGAAAGAACACTAATTAGCACAGCTAATGGATAAGAGGGTATACGAAAACCTCAACAGTTACCTGTCAAGGACCATTGGTTTGATTTGTAGAAAACACGGTCACTTGAAGCATACCCTCAGTCAAAGGAATACCCCAGAGTGCAGCAGCATTTGTTGCAGAGGCACCAATTTGCTGCAAATGCCTACAAGTGACAAGTGGGCCTGGATTTCTGCTGGAGGCAGTTATCCCTCTGGAGACTCAACCAGCAGGAACCCTCAGTGCTGCAGGGCCAGCACAGGAAGCTGCCTCAGCCAGAAGGGGTAGCAAGGATGCTGTGAAGGAAAGCTTTTCCATTAGAAAATGCTGCTTTGCTGAAATACTTGAAACAATCCAGGGTTTGGGCACAGCTTTGCTGGGAGCTGCCTGGCCATTCCTGGGCACACATGGAGTGCACGGGGACAGTAGTTCCTAAAGCCAAGCACTAAAACAAAAAATAAAGCCACAGTATGAATTCTCTTTAATAGCTGCAGCATTTCACAAACATGCCATAATCTCTCACAGGCCTCTATGTCAGAAGGGTCTGATTAACAGATTTTAAAACCCCTAACAACTGAAAACTCAAAACAAATTCAATTCTGTGGGATTGCACACCACAATTAAGGGCTGATGAAAACACAGAGACAGCAAATGGAGAGCAGTGCATTTGCTCCTGGCCTGTCCAAAGTGCAACAGGAGGCGGAGGGAGAGCACAGAAGAGGTAACCATTCGCCCAGCGAATGCCTTGCAAAGATGAGTGACTGAAGCAATTCTACACCTAGGCCAAGGCAGCAGCTTTGTGAAAAGCTGTGGTGGGAAGAAATGCAACTCTCCCCTTCCTGAGCAGCACAACGACACCTGAGGAGAGACTGGAGAACATCAGCTCGTTGGCTACCCCTTGCCTAGGGCTGGTAGCACTTTCAGCTCAGTAGTGGAACTGAATCTCCCAGGAGTGAAGGCATTGCTGCAGGGCCTTCATCGCCAACCCATTCCACACTTAAATTTCTTACTACAGATTCACCTGCACTTCTGACAACCAGTGAGTTGAAGATGCCCAAGGAGAGCATTAAACTTAGAAAAAACGAGTTGCCTTTTCAAAGCAACCAGCAGAGCCTCTTGTGGGCTGGGAAATCCACTTACAAAAGCTTCTCAAAAGCAAAAAAAAAAAAAAAAAAAAAAAAAGGTACAATCATTCTTACATTCAAAATAGCAAATAGCAATAGGTGTTCTTGTCTGCCTGGAGTCCATGAAACCCTGCATCATCTGCAGCAGGGAGCTGCTCTTGGAATGTGTGTTCAGCTCCAGAGGCAAGCTGGACTCAGCCTACAGCCAGAAGGTTCTAATGGACTCCCAGCCAAGCCACAAGGCTCTGATACGTACCACTTCTTGAGAAGTCAGCTTTGGATGAAGAGCTAACTGAGACAAAAACGTTGGAAGAATGTTTTTCTGGGAATACAGTATCCTTCAGTGCTTCAAGTTGAGCAGCACTTCAGGCCAAAAAACCTGGGTTCTCCAGTGGTCAATGGGAAAGCAGAGAGGCGCATCCCTCGTGCTGCTAGATTGCCTCCAGTGCTCCTCAATCCCTGCAGTATTACCAAATCACACTCAGCATTCTGCCCAGCCTGGATGTCCGTGCTGGGCTGCATCTTCCAGGAGCTGGTACCTACCCAGTGCTGCAGGGAGGCCTCGGTGCTGTGCATCTGGCTGCGCTGCAGTTACATTGAAGCATCTGCCACTCGCATTACCAATTTTGAGCGACAGGGAAGCATTTATACACTGCTGCAACTCTAACACTGCATTTTGTTAACAAGGAAAAAGCCTGCACAATCCCTGCCAGCAGTTCGCTGGCAGTTAATATCACAATTAGCTATCGCCTGGCAACAGTCAAGCAAGCTTCCTCTCAAATCAAAGGGGAAAAAAAAACTGCCAAACTGGGCTAATGACAATACATAAAAAATAACTGGAAGGGACGCATTAAGGTATTTCCTGATTTTAATGAAACCTGACTACTTTAGAGATTTTAAAAATACAAACCCATTACTCTATCCTCTCAGACTTTCCGTAACTGACACTACATTATTCTTAAGAAGATTTATGAATTCACAATACCAGTTTTTAATTTATGAAGACTGATCTAATATTCTGGTAATGCTCCTCTTCCCTCTGCACTTCAGGCTTTTGTTGTCTCTCGGTATCTCTCAGTCACTGCGACAGGCGGCATGGAGACTTTCAGCTCCTGGATGGAGCTTCTCCGGGTTCCCCCAGGGTGCCTAACACATTTGTGAGTGAATAATAAAGATTCTGATCTCTCGCGCA